CATCATGACATCGANATGTATAGAACAATAGGGAAAAAAAAAGAAGGGTAGGCAGTTTAGACATACGAAAGCATCTGTAGGATGGTATATAATTTTGTATGTAAAATGTTTTTAGGATTATCTCAAAATCTATTTTTATATCTAATTATAAAATTTTAAATTTTAAAATTATGTATATCTATAGACACATGAAAATCTTCAAAATGGTCAGTATAGATAAATATATTGTAAAATGCACTATTTCTAAGATTTAAAATCTTTTTATTTTTCATATTCATACATCTTGATGTCGAGACGATCAATCAAATACTACCTTTTCCGATGGATTTTTTTGGGGCATCTATAGTTCTACATTATAAGGTTGCATCCTCATATAAAATTTTTTCAAAAAAAAAAATTGAGTCCCATAAATAGTGCATCTTGCCATACATTATCTATACTATCTCTTTTCAAGATTTTCATATGTTTATAGATCAACTTGATTTTAATCATTTTTTTAGTTTAAAATTTTATAATTAGATATGAAATAGATTTTGGGATAATCCTAAAAATATTTTACACCAAAATAACATATTATGACAAAAATTGGAGGTGCGATTAATTAGATCGTTTAAGGTTGCACCTTATAGAAACCACACCCTGCTTTATGAAAACAAAATAAAGCTCTACCTCAAATCCTCGTCCAATGAGCACTTTGGCCGACATAAATCTTCACGATAGCTCCAAAATCATAATCTTCACGATAGCTCCAAAATCATTTTCCAATACTGACAGTAAAATTTGAAAACACAAAAAATGTAAAGATCTTGCGGATCTATGAACACTTATTTTTAGTGCTAAATAAAGGACTTAGATAATTTATTACAATATACTCTATTTTAGTGCTTGAAATCCTTATTTTTTTTACAACTATAATGTTCAAGTCGAGATAATTAATGTAAAGATCTTCCAATGCTTGAATTACAACTTTCGAAGAATTATAAGCTGAGGCTTTACTTTATAAGCTGAGGCTTTACTTACTTTGATAGGGCCGCAGCCCTATCAAACCATTTTCCTATATATGAAAAAAAAATTATATAAAGTACATATATAAAAGGTGCAACTTATAGATCTTCTCCATCTATACTATCCTTGAAATTTTAAATTTTATAGCAAGATATAAAAATAGATCTTCAAGCCATTTCCAACACCGAAATACATATTCATGTAAATTTTAGAAGCGTGCCTTACTTCTACAGTATAAGGAGGGCGCCTTATACAAACCTCACCCATATAGAAATACCCAAAACAATTCTTATACATGAAAATTATCTGGCCCTAATCATATATATGTCACATCAAGGTAATGTTTTTATTTGGCAAAAGACACCATTTTCATAAAAGCAATGAATTTAAAACAGGAATTTGATGGAATTGGTTCCTGAGAATCTAAAAGCCGATGAGTTGGAAAGACAAGAGAGAGAGAGGGTATAAATGGGTTAAATTTTTTGTCTATGTATCTCTATTTCTTTTTTTTTTATTATTCAACTTCTCCATGATTTCTATCTCTCAAGGTAAAGGAAAAGAAACCTAGGAAGTCTTGAATGCAAAGAGATGTCAAGGTTGAGGAAGAGGAACCTAGAAAATATTGAAGGAAGAGAAAGGATGAATTTATCAAGAAAACTTATCAACATCAAATAGGAAAAGTGATTAGATTGATATCACCCACATTATCCAATGGTGTGAAGATGACATAGCTTCCCCAGAGGAAAAGAAGGGTAAAAATAAGAGCCACCTAGGATGGCATGAACCAAGGCCATATTAGCAGCTTCTGTAAGGTGTATCCCATCCCAGCTTACATAGTCTTGTGGATTAGGGCATGCTGAAGCTGTCAAAGTGCTCCCATTGATTACCTTGCTATTCCCACAAAATACTTGTGGGTTGAAATTGTGTGCACCTCCTCCAGTTCCACAGCATGCCTTTGTTCCATGTTTGAACCCTACAAGATCAAGCATTTAGCTAGTTATGTTTAAGGCATTTGCCATTTTCGATGAGGCCTTGGAAATCAATGTAGGAAAAATCGAACTGAAGTGGTTAACCGGATATGGAGCTAGAAGCGGTTCAACCGGGCCAACCAAGCAAGTCCGGAGCGATCAAAAAAGTGTTAAAAAAATTATAAAAAACATCTAATAAATATAAAAATTATATTTAAATTATGATAAAATAAAGTACATCTAAATGAGGTTGAAAATTAATACAAAAAAAAAAGATTTTGTGCCCAAGGGTATTTTTAAAATTTTCAAAAAGATGGGAAAATATAAAAGTATTAATGGCCAAAACAATTTCCATTCTTTGCCAAAATGATGAAAAATATTAAAAAATACATAACAAACGAAATCCCTTATATTTTCAGATTTTATATAATTTTTTTAAAAATACCCGACCAGTTCACCAAAACCGTCCAAAACTAGAACCAGTTTTCGATCTAATTGGGTCTAACCAGGCGGTAGAATTTGTACCACGCGATATTTCCTACACTGTTGGAAACTACTTCAAAATTATAAATAGAAACCAGTACACAATCAAACAAAAAAAGAATTATAGATGCAAACCAATGGACAACCTCACGCCCTATTGATTGAATGGTGCAACCATCTTACAAAATTATCATACATAAAAGAATGTTACTTTGCAAGTCTCATTTTATTTGTACCTCCATGATAAGTATCTTAAAAAAATAATTGAATTATCAATTTTAAGGTTTGGGAACTTTGAACAAGTAGACATTTCAATAACTTATCACCTCGGGGTTAGCAATACCAGACAAGGGTTTAAATGAAAATATGAGTTACGTGTTGCTAACCTAAACCATCATAAATATATTCGCATCATTAACCCTCATAAATTATGAAGTAAACCTTGTTCAAAATTCCCAATCTTGAACATAGAGCAATTTAGTCATTCCAAATATAATTTTTTTTTAGGTACCTGAGCAAAATTAAACTTAAAAACAACGCATTCTAATGTCAAATGGGATGAATTGACGGCTTTAATGATTCGTAAGATAGTTTGGCCTTATTTATTTTGACTTGGCTTTTATCAGTGTTTTGTATTTGGGAGGTTGAAAGTTAAGTCAACCTACCAAGCTTGGCTGTCTTTTGGCTCCTAAACCTGGACAGTCCACACAAGTTCTACTAGGTTACATTTAAACGGCGAGGGTGAAATTGATAGAGTGAAAATGTGTATGTATATGTGACAGAGAGAGACAGAGAAACAGAAAGAGTACCATGAGCGGCTGGATGTTGGAAGAGCTCAAGCTTGACAGCATGTGTATCTACATAAATTAATGTAGCATTCGGAAGTAGTTTTCGAACATTATCAAGGCTCTGATTAAGCATAAAATTGTAGGCAGCAACTGCATTATTGTAGGAGATCATGCATCCGGACCCATCCAAATCAGTGGCATTGTGTGGAAGTTCGGTGAGAAATGCTGGGAAGCACCCAATAGGGGCAAGATTAGACACCAGGAATGTGCGTGCCCTGTCGTCATACAATTCCTTCATCCAAATTTCGAGTAATCAATATAACAGAAAACACACAATGGTCATAAGACACTGGTTAATCACCAAAATAGAAGAAAGGCGCTCTCTTTCTTTGGTTAATATGCTAAACATACTGCAAATTTGCAATTTGGTAGCAATATGTTGCAAAGTTGCAGTTGCAGAACTACAATGAACATTAGGGACAGGCCACAAATCTGTATGATCATGATTGGAAGTAGCAATCTCCATCAAATGGCAATGGACAATGGATGCTCAATTCAGGGGCTGCATTGTGGTTCTTCGCGCTGAGCATACTATTACCATACGTAAAACAGAGTACAAATCAAGATTAAAAGAAATCAGGATGCATATACAAGTGTGTTGAAGGGTTTGTGAGCATCTAGTGAACTCGAAAAGAGTCCTGGCCTTAAATGAGCTTTTAATCATTCACTCACACTTAATTTGCAAGTTCAGCAATGCAATGCTTAGTATAATAGTACTAAGTTGCTTACAAGGCCAGTTGTGACTTGGCAAAAATTTAGGATTTCATTCTCACCTAACACATTCAAAACCACAAACGATTTTAAAAACAGGTAGGGGCTCATCATCCCCACTGAATTACCCAAAAAAAAAATCCAATAATTTTTGAATTTCCAATGTCATCATCATTCAAGCTTTATCCCAATTATTTGAGATCGGCTACTTAATTTATAGTGTACAACTTGAATTTTGAATTAAGCCTTCACAAGATTAGATGATCAAGACTATACGGTTGAGATTAAGTTCAAGGAGAGGGAACCTTGTAATTGTTGGTACATGTGTGCAATGGGGGCCTCACATGTGCCACATATTTCTTATTAACCCGATTAATATTTTCTCCAAAAATTTTGCATATTTATTATTTATATTTATGAAGAGTTTTTCAAATAGAGAGAAGACATCTTTCTCAAAGACTTGTGGATAACTCCCACATTCTTTAGATTTTGAGGGTCACCTTGCTAGAGATGCCATAATCCGAACAGTGGTGTCAAAGCCATGCAATAATTTGTGATCCTACCTTCTTGAAACTTGCAATGTTGGTTCCCGTTATTTTTTTATTCTTTGATCCGACATGCTACTCTCTAAAAATCATTTAGATTAAAATTTTCCTTTTTCTTTTGATAATTACTCTTTGCATGTAGCCTCCTTTCTCTTTTATCCTTATAATCTTCATCTTTCCACTTTTGTAAGATTATTTTATCTTGTGTTCTTGGGTTTGATGTTCACCCTTTTCTCAAATTGAAGTCCCTTTTTTTTTACTTCATTGACTTAAGAGAACTAAATCAAAGAAAGTTGTTAAGACTTCTACAAACTATTAGGTTACCCATTCACTTTCCCTATTTTTTTTCTCTTTAAAAGTTTTTCCCCTGCTGTATTGTTTATTTTATTTTTTGGGTAGTTCAATGTTAGGAATTGAACTTGAATTGTTGCTTGACCTGAACTGCTAACCACTCAAGCCTAAAGCAAGTTCATAGTGTTAGCGGTGGGAATGGAGGGTAGGACATTATGTTGAGGCATCTGCCCCAGCAGTCACCAATGCCCCTCAAAATCAAATAGAAAGAATTCTATTTCTCTCTAGAGTCAAGACGATTCCTGTTAAAATCCTCTTTCATACTTTGTCCAATTGTTAATCATCATCATATTTATCATCACTACTATAATAGAGTTTTTTTTCGATTAATTGAGATCGGTTAATAATCCACTTGGTAGTTGTTCATCAAATATTGTTTCTAAATGAATAAATATTTATAAAGTTTTAATAGTACCATCAAATTCAGAACCAGCAGAAATATGCAACGCAAATATCACCATCAATGCAATAAAATCAAAAGGTCAGATTAGGTTTTGGCAGCATTCAAGTCTTGATGTATTATGACAAAACGACCTTATCAAAATTCCCTTCTTTTCTCTGCAGTCTCCTTTAAAGGGCTCTCCTACATGGATTACCTTTATTGGAAGACCAAGCATATTTTTACCTCAAAAATCAGTGAAAAGTAGGTTTCAAACTATGGACTGCTGAAACAATAGTTGCATGTCTAGGACTCTCAATATTTGAAGGGATCGTCTATAAAGAGGCTATTTGTCTTTTGTCCATGCAGGTCACATTCATTCTTGTCTATTAAATTTCAAAATGGGTGGTTGAAAGAGTGTCATTGGATAGACACAAAGTTTCAATAAAAAAAGGAAAAAACTTGGACTTTGTGCCTCACTTCAAACCATCGAATGTAATATCTAATGAATGGGAATAATTGTCATCTCCATGTACAAAAGAAAAAGGGTGTGGTTTGTATAGAGCCGAAGTTTTAAACAATCAAAGTAACGCACACCTTCAAATAGTATCGAGAAATGTGGTTTCAGTACTGGAAATCTTTGTGATAGCTTTAAAATATATTTTCATCTCTGATTATTAAATTTAAAGCTTCAAAAATAGTGTAAATCAAGCAAATCTATGAAAATTTGAAAACCTTGAAAATTGATGATCTAGAAATTCATTACAAGATGTACTATATTCAAAACTTGATGGCCAGATGATTAATTTGAGGATATTTGGGCATCAAAACAACCTCTTCTAGTGAAATTTTTTGAGGTGTGCTCTAATTTGATTGTTTAGAGCCTCGGCTCTATATAAACTTTTCCAAAAAGAAATTCCCACAAAAGAAATTCGTTAATACCACATATTTGATATTATGAAAAATTGTTTCATGCGGGGTGGATTTATATGCGGTCTAGAGGTATAAAACATCCATCTTAAAGATGGATGCAAATAGGTGGTCCATCAAAAAGCAATTGTAACTTACCGTCCAAATGTTTTTTTAATATAATTATTATTTCTAGTTTTCAAACTTTATTTATGTTTTCATTAATGATCATCATGTTAAAGATTATATGTTCTCTAAAATTTAGAATCAAATCATATTTAAAAATATATATTTATTACCAAGCCCTCATTTCTACAATATGAGGGCTGACCGCATGCTAACTGCGTCCAATACAGAAATACACCCAAGCATAAGCCCTTATTTTTAAGGAAAGTATAGAATGAGACCATTTACCTTTGGTACAAAGTGGTCATATTAATTTTGACCATTGGATGTCAAATTGGGTGGCTACAATTATTCCATTGACCAAGCTCAAACTTCAAAAAAAAATTTCTCCAACTTTGAGACACATCCAACCTATCAAATTTCACAGCCAATGGTTTAAATAATTGTGACTACCTTGTATTAAAGATAAATGATCTCATTGTATGCAATCTCTTATTTTTATACCCCAAAAATTCTCAAACAACCCTATTCCAAGTCTTCTGCTAGGTCACCCACCATTCCAAATACTAGTGCTTGTATGAACAATGGGAGACATGAAAGCGAGAAGAGATTCACATCAACCGTCTAATCTGAATAATGAATGGCTGAAACATGTCACGTGGAAACAAGCAAACTTACCTGTAACTTTTTCTTGTTTGTATATTACATGTTCCACAGCCTACTTTTGCTTTTGAATTTGCTTTTGCTTACCCACTCAACCAGACCTTGATGCGCTAATAAACACATTATGTCTTGTGTTGCAAATTTTTTTTTGATAGAATATAAGGTTGCAACTTTAAACAATCAAATTAAGGTGCATCTCCAAATTTTATTATAAATATAATTTTAGTGTCAAAAACTTCTTAGAATGGCCATAGAATTTATTTTTAAATTGAATTATAAAATCTTAAACTCTAAAAAATGGTTCTAATTAAGCAAATCTATAAACACTTGAAAATCATGAAAATAGACGGTCCAGATAATGTGTTGCGGTAACTATTTTAACAACTCGAATTTTTTTTTCTCCTTTCATATTCATACAATATGATCAGTTAGAGAGTTATCCTACCTCAAAACAACCTTTATGATAGATTATTGAGGTGCACCTTAATTCAACATTTTAAATATTGAGGTGCACCTTAATTCAACATTTTAAAGTTGCAACCTTATATGAACTTTTTCCATAGAAGGGGATACTTCCCCTCGATATTTGTAGATGCTCTCCATATCTATCGTGACCACTTACTGGGCCATTCTAAATGTTTGTTATTCTATTTATAGTGGCAAATAGAATTGACAACAACAAATTTCATGGAGATTTTTCAAGATTTTCTATCTTTCTTTTAGTAATTTTTCAAGATTTTTTCTTTTTTTTTTTTAAGATCATATTAGGTCATTAATTTTTTCTATGGCCGGGCCTCTCCACTGTTGTTTAAGACATAAAGGACAGGATTTTGGGGGAATTTATAAGAACATAAATGGAAAACATATCAATAGTACAACATATAACATGTGCCAATTTGACGCAGGTGTCTAAAGCTAGGTGATCTGTGGGAAGCGGGAAGCCGCACAACTGACATTTTTTACTTTCATGTTTGGACCAATTTGTTTTTTTACTCCTTTATGAGGTAGCGAAGAAGTAAAGATCCAATATACTGTACTGCTCTTACATCGATTTTTTTTTAGTAAATTATGTACGGATCCAAAATAATTACGTAAAATACAAAATGATATGATTATAGGTGAAAATTACAATGAAGGTCGGTTAACGTGCATTTTTTAAAAAATTGCCACATTTAATCCTTTTTTTTTTTTAGTTTTTTCATTAGTAGGGCAATGCCCCAAGCTTTAGGGGCAATGCCCATGCGGTCCGAGATTAGAATCCTTGGACCACCCAACGAACGTAGCAAAACCCCAATAGAGCAGTTTGAGGTCCCCTTCCTCGAATCGTTGTTTTTTCAAAAAATAAAAAATAGAGCACGATCTGAGGATGGGGACCTCAAACCGCCCTAAAATTGAGTTCTGATCAGCCAAAGAGTGGTCCGAGGTCCCCATCCTTAGACCGTTATTTTTTTCAAAAAATAAGAAATAAAGTGTCGTCCATGGACCCCTTGTTTTTCTCAAAATTAAGAAAGAAAGAGCAGTCCGAAGATGGGGACCTCGGATTGCTCAGGAACTATGATCTGCTCAGTTTAGGGGGCAGTTCGAGGATTCTAACCTCGAACTACCTGGGCACTTTCCCTAAAGCTTGGGGCAAAAATACTAAAAATAACTAAATTAAAATGCAATCCAAGGATGGCATTCTCAGATCGATGATAGGCAATTTTGAAAAAAAAAAAAAAAATGCAGGATGACTGATCTTCCATGTAATTTTTGCCCAAAATTGCCCCATTTTGTATTTTATCAAGTTTTCGGGTCTATAAGTAAATCACAATTTTTTTTTTAAGGAAAATTACAAAAAACCCCAAGAGCACACTTTCTATGCAACTTACCCCAACCTAATTTTATCTCTCACTTTTTTTAAAAAAAACAAACTTTCTATGCAAGTATCCCCCAAGGGAAAAAGTTTATTGTTTTTAGATGAAAATGTCCTTCCCCTACACAAAAATCATTTAAATCATTTTGGATAGATTTGACGTTGACTTTGGGATATTGTTTTTAGACGGAAATGCCCTTCTCGTACACAAAAATCATTTTGGATAGATTTGATGTCGACTTTTGGACCCAGTAGCATAATGCTGGAGCACACAAGTGCCGGACTACCAAGACAACTGCCGAAATCATTTAGGATAGATTTGATGTCGACTTTTGGACCCAGTAGCATAATGCTGGAGCACACAAGTACCGGACTGCCAAGACAACTGCCAGACCGCCCTAAGACAACTACCGGACTTCCCTAAGACAACTACCGGACCGCCCTAAGACAACTACCGGATTGAAATTGAGTATTGTCGGACCGCCTTTTATATAGTGCCGGAGCCCTGGAATCCAATAACATGACCCAACTGTTGGATCGCATTTTACAGGAGCCCCTATTTTGGTAGGATAGATGGCCGGACCGCATTTACATGGTGTCGGAGCCCTGGACCGCACTTTACAAGAGCCCCTATTTTGGTAGGATAGAGGGCCGGACCGTACTTACACTGCGGGAGCCCCTATTTTGATAGGATAGACGGCTGGACCGCACTTACACTGCCTGAGCCCCTATTTTGATAGGATAGACGGCCGGACCGCACTTACCCCTATTTTGGTAGGATAGAGGGCTGGCACGTGGCCTGGATTGAAATTGAGTATTGTCAAACCGCCCTTTACATAGTGCGGGCACCCTGAAATCCAGTAACATGACCCAACTGCCAGACCGCCCTTTGGACCGCACTTTACAGCAGCCCCTATTTTGGTAGGATAGATGACCGGACCGCACTTACATGGTGCTGGAGCCCCTATTTTTGTAGGATAGAGGGCCGGCACGTGGTTACATGGAGGAACATGGTGCTTGCCGGTGCTAGTTAAGTGCTTGCCGGAGCTAGAGGAGAGCTAGAGGAGAGAGAGGGAGCTAGAGGAGAGAGAGGTGTGGGTAAGGTAAAAGTATTCCTATTTTGGTAGGATAGAGGAGAGAAAGGCGTGAGTAAGGTAAAAGTAAGGGAGGGTAATTTAGGTATTTTTTTATTTTTTATTTGGCTGGAAGGTATTTGCATAAAAAAGTGAGAGAAAAAGTTATAAGAAAAAATAGTGTTGAGTTATGTGATACAAAAAGTATTGAAGATAAAATATCTATAAAATTGATTTTGAGGGGTACATAATTTTCTCAAAATTTTATGCTCTAAGTGTAGTTGTCTCGAATGTGGATCTTTTTATTTTTTTTCTTTTAATTTATTTTGGCCAGGTCAGACAGGGATTAAATCTCAGGCATCACTGCTCCAAACACCGAGACAAGTACTTGGAATACCAAATTACCAATAAATGTCTCAGTTTTGTTTTAAGGAAAATTATTTCACGCAAGCTAGACCGCATTTCTACCATACACGGTCCCAAGATATACAGCATCCATGTTAAAAATGGATGCAAATACGTGGTCTATATAAAAACCATTGAAACCAACAGTCAAAATGTTTTGTTCCTAAAACCATTATTTTTATTTCTTAAAATTTATTTAATTTTTTATACTCATGTTAGAGAGTACATGTCCTTAAAAATTGGGACCGAAAATCCATCTCAAAAATAGGTTTTTAAGAGTTGACTCATTTCTACATGGACTCATAGAAACCGTGTCCATTTTTTAAATATAAGGATTGCTGCGTGACACTCTCAAGAGTTATTTACTGGCATTTTCCATATTTCAAGAAAATATGTATAACATGCTAGCATTTGCATTTGAAATAGCCTGCATGCAACTCCAAGAAGCGATGGAGGAGTTGAAATTAGTGCTACCTTTATGGTTGCAACAATTTGAGAAGCCACCTTGGGGAGATATTGTTGAACTCCTGATATTCCGATCGCTGCTAAATTCGACGTAAAATCATTCTGGCCAATGTCAAATGTGTACAGCGACTTACCGAAAACATCCGGAAGAGGTAAGGTTTTATGGTCCATCCCTGGGCAAAGTACAGTTTTCTATCTCAATTTCTGATATCATATTTATAAATGCATGCATCTCTGTGTTTGTTTGTAAGAAATCCCCGGCACCGCGAAAGTTGGTGAAGGTGAAAATACATGCATACTCACCTACTCTTTTATGTTGAAATTTATATATCAAGAAAACGGAGTATAGCTATTTGTACCATGAGATTGAAGCTCAATAACTCTAGCCTTGAAATCCTTCATTTGATTGAGTTGGATTGCCAAGGAAAAAGGACTGATCCCTGTAACAAAAAGGGAAGTGTTGGGCAAAAGAACGGTTGAAGCCAATGTAGCATAATTAGCACCATGCCTGAAATTGGAGCCCAGAGATTGAAGGTATGGGCTTAGAAATGGAAGTCCAAGTGCTTGCGCTGCAATGACAATAACAGATGATTTAAAAAATAAAAAAAAATAAAAGAAGAAGAAGAAGAGAAGAAAAACGGCGCCAATGAGAAGATATGGTTTTCCCAATGTGACAATGAGAAGACATGGTTTTCCCAATGCTTTCAGGCTTTGTACTTTGGGAACAGGACTAAATTTATGGAATTACCCTTCGATTCGTAATTCCCAAAATTTTAAAGTGAGGTTATTTTTTTTATTTTTTATTTTTATTTTGCTAGAGTTCTATGTTGCAAACATTACACTATATTTTTTAATTAATTTTTTATTTATGTGTTTTTTTTCACAGTTCATTGCCCCATATATCAAATCCGCCCATTTGTGGGTCTATCTAATATTAGAAACATCGGACCACCCTAATGTTTATTTAATAAATTGGCACAGGAGCTACATTTTGTACCTTTTTGGTCATTGAGAGTGATTCTAAACTGTTGGTTGATTTAGAGTGCAGGACTCCATGGAGAATGGGTATTATTATACTGGAGAACTAAAGGTATAAACTCTCAACTTTTGCAAATCATCAATGGCAGATCCTACACACCTAGGAGAGGGGAATATGGTAGCAAACTTTTTGGCCGAAGATGGAGTATCTAGAAGTGGAACAACTACGTGGCGAGCTTCTCCCCCCAGATTTTTTAATACATATTCTTCTATCTGATGTAGAAGGTGTTCACTTTCCAAGAGTTGTATAAGGATTATCCTAATAATATATTTTTCAATTTCAATAAAACGGGTTGGGGCGCGCATCATCCTCACTTATTCACCTAAAAAAAAGTGGCGCCTCATCCCCACTTATTCACCTAAAAAAAAGAGTGGAATTTGGATAGTCTGATAAATAAAACATTAACCTATTTTAAACAATAAAAATAAATATTTTACAGTCTAATGTTACTAATATTAACTCTCTCAATACCCCCAATATTATATTGGTAGCAGAAAACCATGGGGCTTTTCGATGTTAGTAATAAAAGACCCACCAAAATAACTTTTTTTTTAGTGTTTTAAAAGCATAATGATGTTTCAGGCATCAGAATGCCCTATTCAAGCCTACTTGATGAAACATTCAGATGTTCTGCTCTGATATCTCAAATATTGAACTGCCCCAAGAATAGGCTGGTCCAGTTTCTCAAGCATCAGACTGCCCAAAAACTACAAAAATTATACTAAAAAATGTTTTATATTTGCATCATTAAAGCACAGGAAATATTGGAAAAATAAAAATACATGAACAAAAAAGCATAAAAAAAGACAACTCCATCGTTACAAATTGGACAAGGAAGACGTTCAGTTGCTAAATATGCCAACAACACTTTTAATTTTGCAATAGACCAAAGGAAAGTGGTTAAAACAATAAAGAAATAAAAGATAAGTAGAATATAAAATTCATATCAGAGAAAAAGAGGTATTTTAAGATGGTGTTGTCCGGGAAGGAGCCACCTGATCCGGGCTCTAGAGACGGTGTTTCAATGGCAGATTCATCCGCAGCAAAAAACTTCCGATCTGTGTTCCTTGATATCAAAGTTGGGTGAAACTCTTGATGTTATTGGTGATGGTGAAACTCTTAATGTTATTAGTGATGACGCTAATGGTAAGGGAAGTGGTGTTGTTGATGGAGATGCTGCTATTAATGGCAATAGTGTTGTTGTTAATGTTCCTTGTATTAGTAACAATGATGATGGTGTTGATGTGATGATGGTGTTGATGTTATTTGTGTGGATGATAATGCTTTAGTTCATGGTATGGAAGAGCCAGTCTTGCGAGATGAAACTTTTCCGCCCATTACAATCTAGTATGTCATTGCATAACCCAAAAGTTGCGAGCTGCTGGAATGAAGAAAAGTCCTCGGATCTTCTTTTTGGAGAGAAAAAAATACAAACAGGTGTTTTTTATTTTAATGATGTTGAGGTCTCTTCTGCTGAAGTTGTTGATAGGAGGGGTTATGTAAAGATCTAAGATGAGGTTGCTGACCTCTGTTTGGGGAGATGGGAAATTTGTCTCCTTGGATACTTCCTTGGTAGAAGGCCAGAATGGTTCTATATGACGGTCATGTTAAAAAAGATGTGGAAAATTGAGCAGGACCTAGAAATCTTCTCTCTAAATGATGGGTTCGTAGTTTTTTGATTTAAAAGTAGAGAAGAGATGGAGGTTGCCAGATCTGGGGTACCATGGTTTGTGAATAAGAAGTGTTTAGTCCTGAAAGATTGGGATTCAACTGTGCAACCTTCAAGAAAGACAAGGCAACCTTCAAGATTGGGATCCAACTGTGCAACCTTCAAGAAAGACAAGGCAACTCGTTCCAATATGGATCAAGCTTCATGGACTCCCAATGGTTTTCTAGGAGCCGGAAGTATTGTTTTGAATTTCATTACCAATTGGGAAGCCTTATTTTATGGATAAACCTACTAAGTTAAGGACAAGATCGTAACCAAGGGTATGTGTTGCCTTGAACTTGGAGAAACCTCGACTCAAAGAGGTGTGGTTCGAGATAAAAGGGAAGCACTATAAACAACATGTTTCTTACGAATTTATTCCGCTAGCTTGTGCTTCATGCAAGAAAATGGGCCATACCACAAATCTCTGCAATTCAGCCTCGCCACCTAACGCGCAGAAGAAGTCTAATGGTACTAATGGCGTTGTTGTTTCATTACCATCTGGTGAAGAAGGGTGGCGTGTGGTTAAGGGTAGAAAACAGTTCATATACAAAAAGAAATTGGCAAATACTGACATCTTCTGTGGTAGAAGATGGTCATCTGAAAATGGACCCTCGACCGCCTTCTAATAAGATGTTGTTCCTACTCAAGATGAGAAGCTACCTCAGGCTAAGGGTGTTACTGTTGTTGATGTGAGGCCCTCGAAGGCTTCTATGAATGATGTGGAGTCAACAGATACCCAGAATCCAGACATTGTTGATGCTGGTGGAGCTCGGAGGTCAATTAGGAACAAAAAGGCATCAATAAAGGCATAATGCATCTTGAAGGACGGGGTGCAATCTAGTGGAGGGAAGTCTTCCTCCATAGGTAAATTCTCCAATCATTAGTTCATGGAATGTTCGGGGCTTGAGAGGCCTTGGTAGGATATCAATTATTCTTGGGTTAGTTAAAAATCATAATGTTGGGCGTTTGTTTCTTCTGGAAACTAAACTCCCTTCCGAATTGGCTATGAGTTGCGCTAGAAAAGTTGGTTTTTATGATAATGTACTGTCAAATGAAGTAGAAGGTAGATCACGAATCATGGTTTTGCGGAATCCATGCATATTTTCAGTCAATGTGTTAAACACCAGTGATCGTATGATAACTATCCAGGCAACACGGTTATGCAGTGGATGCACCTTAACTGTTTCGGGTGTCTATGCTTTTAACTCGGTTGTTCAGAGAGCATCTCTTTGGATAGTTTTGGGTGATTTCAATACGATATTGGATAATTCTGAAAAGATAGGTGGCAAGAATTCACTACCACAGGATTCAAGGGACTTTGAACATACTTTGGCTGACTGTGTGTTAACTGACTTAGAACAAGGGGCTGGTTTTCTTGGTCTAATACCCAACTTAAGAGAAGATGTATCAAGGAACGTCTAAACCGGGCCTTGGCAAATATGGAATGGATTTTATCTCATCCAGAATCCAAGGTAGAGTTACTTCCCTAGGGTAATTCTGACTCTGTCAACCTGGATTCCAGACGGACCGAAACCATTTAAATATTTCACGACTTGGCAAAAACTCCCGGGGTTTATGGATGTCAACTTAGAGCTGAGGGCACGGCTATGTTCCATTTTGTGACAAAGCTAAAAGGCTAAGAAGCGTCTTAAGAGATTGAAATAGATGCTCTTTTGGTCATGTGGGAAATAATATATCTAATATTCGACTTCAATTATTAATTCTGCATGATGAGTTAAGTCGAGATCCTTCCAATGAGAATATGACGATGGAAGAAAAAACATGTACACATGCCCTACAACAACTACTTTCACATGAGGAAAGTATGTGGAGACAAAAATCTTGACAGACTTAGTTGAAGGATGGGGATTCAAATACCCATTTCGTTCATTTGTCCACCATCATAAGAAGAAGAAATGGCAGGCTCAACCTCTTAAAAAATCACAATGGGGTTTCTCTGACTTCTGAGGCAAAAATCCAAAATCACATGATTGACTATTTTGAAGAATTATTGGCACAAGAAAGTAATATTGATCTTAGTCTGGTTGATCATTTTCTTCCTTCTTCAATTCTTAATGAAAATTAGCACATGGAACTTATTAAGGAGGTGTCTATAGAGGAAGTAAAAGTCTGTATTTGGGGAATGAAGAGTGAGAGTGCGCCAGGCCCAGATGGTTTTACGGTGGAATTTTAGAAGTTCAGTTGGGAAGTGATCAAGAAGGATTTGTTTTTGCAATTGCATGACTTTTTCAAGAAAGGTAAATTCCTTAAGCAGATAAATTCCACATTCATTTGCCTTATTCTAAAAGTCAATACCCCTTGTCTTATGAAGGACTTCAGACCAATTGGTTTGTATAATGTTCTTTACAAGATCATTAACAAACTTATTTCAAATAGATTAAGGGAGGTGTTACATACTCTGATCGATTCCAAACAAGCTGCTTTTTTAAGAGAGAGATTGATCACAGATAACATATTGATGGCTAATGAGCTTATTTCACTATGTCATAAATACTCAATCAATCCTAAGATGTGCTTGCAGTTGGATCTAAGTAATGCCTATGATTGGGTTTTTGGGATTTTGTTCTTACGAGGTTGCATGCTTTGGGTTTCCAAGATCTATTTGTTTCTTGGATTCGTCATTGTTTTACTACTCCCTCATTCTTGGTGCTTCCTAGTGGTTCCCCTATGGGATATTTTAGAGGAAAAAGAGGATTACGGCAGGGTGACCCTCTATCTCCATATCTTTTTTTGTTGGTAATGGATTTCATGAGTAGGCAGTTGGATCATGCAATAGTACAAGGTACTCTTCCTGTACTTTTTCTTTTTGATTGTGACTATGGGGTATCACATCTATTTTATGCCGATGATGCAGTTATTTTCTATGAGGCTTCTTTAGCTGCTACAAAAGAGATAAATTCTATTCTATGTATGTTTGAAAATACCACAGGGCAAACATTGAATGTCATTAAGTAAGGCTTTCTTTTTTGGAGTTTCCATTAATGCAAAACATTTAATCTTGAATGAATTGGGGTTTGGTGAGGGTTCTCTTCCAGTAAGATACTTGGTAATGCCTTAGTTCCATGGTAACCTGAAGCACCATAATTGTCAGAATCTCGTGGGGACATTCATTAGCAAGAGAGGAACATGGCAGGCCTTATCCCTCTCTTATGCAGGTCGGTTACAATTGTTGAGATCAGTACTAAGTTCATCAGCCATTTCTGGGTTCTATCATTTATACTGCCAAAGCGCACATGTAGTATGTTAGAACGGCTTTAGAGAAATTTTCTATGGGCTGGTACAACTCATAAGAAGGGGGTTCACCTGGTAAAGTGGAAAAATGTATGATTGCCAATGGAAGAAGGGGGCCTCGGAATTCGTGATATTATTGAGTTCAATAATGCAGGCATGATGAAGTTGGCATGGAGCATTCTGGCTAAGCCGTCTTCTCTTATAGCTCGCTTTTTTAGGCACCGATACTTCAGAAATTGTTCAATCTGGGAAGTTGATAGGAAATCATGCTCCTATGCATGGAAGGGCATTCAAATGGGGTTGTCTCTCTTGAGCCACAATGTTCGATGGATTATTGGGGATGAAAGGACAATTAATTTTTAGACAGATCCATAGTTATCAGAAAAATCCATTTTAGAATCTTATGGTTCTAGTATTCGTAAAGACTTGGGAAGTTTTGCCAAGCCTAGGATTGTAGACTACTTAAATGGTTCTCCACAATCCTGGTGTTTCCCTACCCCTGCACTAGGACAAGCTCTTAGAATCTGGAATCAATGGATCAAAATTTGGAAGTGGAGGTTGCCTCAATCCCCCTGAAACCCCAACCTGACTTTTTGGTATAGATTCACTCTGCAAATGTAATTTTTTCTGTTAAAGAGGCATGGAATTTCATCCGTCATATGGGCTATTCTCAACCAGTCTTTAGGGCACCATGGTCTTCTAAGTGTCATCCAAGGGCTAAATGGTTCTCGTGGTTGAGCCTTCATCATCGTCTTCTTACCTCTTCTCTCATGCAGCGAAGGGGAATCACTCGTGCTTCTGCGTGCCCTTTTTGTCATCTTAATGATGACAATATTTGTCATATTTTGCTTGAATGTGTTTTCTCACTATAACATGGCAATGTGGAAAACATCTTATTACAGTTTATTCTATTGCAGCTACACCAGGTTCAAGTCTGATGGTTACCAACATTTGGGATTCTCTCTTCTTCATAACTATATGGATGATTTGGGAGGAGCAGAACCACCGTATGTTTCAAGGAAGGACACTCACTCTTGCGAAGCTGACTCGAATGATCATCTACCATGTTCGTGATTTGGCAGATGCTAAGGCATAGACTTGCCACATCTCAAAAAAGGCAATTACTGAGAATTTACTACTTACATGGCGGCAGCAGAGATTCAAGTTACCCATAACAGTGGCATGGGCTTTTCCACATTCACAACATTTTAAGCTAAATATCGATGGGTCTTCTATTCAGAATCCAGGTCAAGCTGGTTGTGGGGGTGTCTTGAGACGGGATGATGGATCTTTCGTTGCTGTTTTCTCGATTCCTCTTGGAATTGCTTCCAATAATTATACAGAATTTCGACGTTTACAAGAGGGTGTTGATTTAGCCACTAAAATAGAATTCTTCCCCTTGCAAATTAAGAATGATTCTTCTTTACTTGTTCAGGTCATACAAGGCCGGTGTAAAGCGCCATGGGCTCTTCATATCATAAATGTTAATTGCAAGTCTAGACTTGAGAATCATTCATGATCCATTTGCCATGTTTGCCGTGAGGCTAATATGGTGGCTGATACGCTTGCCAAAAAGGCTACAATTTTTGCGGATGCCACCATTTGACACTCTAGGCCTCCAGATTTTCTTAACCATCCTCTACTTCATGATGTGGCGCAATTACCTTATTGTAGGGTTGTAAGATAGTACGATGTAATTTTTTTAACTTTTCTTTATTTATGAAAAAGGGGTAGAGGGCCTTCTCCCTCACTGATTTACCCAAAAAATAAAGCATAAAAATCTAAAAATATGAACCAAGGTAATTCCATAAGTTTAACCGGTCTACACTTCAATTTTCCTTGTATTTTTGGAAAGGGTGTGGTTTGTATAGAGCCTAGGCTCTAAACAATCAAATTAGAGCCTACCTTCAAATATAGTCAAAAAATGTGGTTTCA